CAAGACATGCACTCACCATATTGCAGTCCATTCACGTTTCATTCTTTTTTTTTTTTCAATGTGGCCCCTAAATTACACCTAAATTTTGAAATAATTCACCATCTGATCCACCTCTTTATTGGCCTCTCTCACTCGTTATTTATGTTTTCAGATCAGACTCAGCTGTTTACAGATGATTATTGCAACAAGGCAAAAAAAAAAAAAGAATTTCAATTCAATTCAGCTTATTCATATAGTGCCAAATCACAACAAAGTTGTCTCAGGGCACTTTATAGGAACATTCACATACATAGAAAAGACAGTTAGTAAAGTTCTCTATCTAAGGAGGCCAGCAGACAAGTTGAATCTTGGTTTTGTTGCAGTCTCCCATCCTGAGCAAGCACAGAGGCAACAGTGGAAAGGAAAAACTCCCTTTTAAAAGGAAGAAACCTCCAGCAGAACCAGGCTCAGGACAAGCGGCCATCTGCTTTGACCGGCTGGTTTGAGAGGACAGGAAGGAGAGACAAACGAACATAGAATGGTAGGTCCAGGTGTACCTGAAAGATGAAAAAAACATGTTAAGGATAGAAAAAATAATTACAAATACAAAACAGGTTGAGCAGAGTAAGTAAAGACAGTAGCAGAGTGAAAAAGTGTGGTCAGTTTGTCCTCCAGCAGTCTAAGCCTATAGCAGCATTTAGGGACAGCTCAGGAAACCCAAGCCGACCCTAACTATAGAATTTAGCAAAAAGGAGAGTCTTAAGCCCAGTTTTAAAACTGGATAATGTGTCAGCCTCACAAACAGAGATTGGAAGTTGGTTCCACAAGAGAGGAGCCTGATAACTGAAAGCCCTGCATCCCATTCTGTTTTTGTAAATTCTATGAACTACAAGTAAACCTGCAGCCTGAGAGCGAAGTGCTCTGTTAGGAAAATATGGAACAATAAAATCTGTAATATAAGATGGAGCTAGGTTGTTGAGAGCTTTGTAGATTAGAAATAGGATTTTGAATTCTATTCTGGACTTGACAGGGAGCCAATGGAGAGAAGCTAAAACTGGAGAGATATGTTCTCTCCTACTAACTCCAGTTAAGACTCTGGCAGCAGCATTTTGGATCAACTGAAGACGTTTTAAAGAAGTATTTGGACACCCAGATAATAAACCATTGCAATAGATGTGACAAATGCATGGACTCGTTTTTCTGCATCATTTTTAGATAAGATGTTTCTGCGATATTACACAGGTGGAAGAAGGCAGTTCTAGTCATGTTTTTAATGTAGGGGATAAAAGACATGTCCTGATCAAAAATAACACCAAGATTTTTAACATTAGAACTGGAGGCCAGATTAATGCCATCTAAGGAGGGTGAAAGACTGAAAATGTCATTCCTAAGGTGCTCAGGTCCAAAAACCAAAACCTCAGTCTTGTCTGTATTCAAAAGGAGAAAATTAAGGGTCATCTAGGTTTTTATGTCTTTAAGACATGCTTGTAGTCTAAGTAATTGATTGGATTCATTAGGTTTAATGGACAAATATAATTGTGTGTTATCACCATAATAATGAAAATTTATCCCATGCTGTTTAATAACTTTGCCTTATGGAAGCATATATAAAGTAAAGAGTATTGGCCCAAGCACTGAGCCCTGAGGAACTCCATAACTAACTTTGGTGTATGAAGAAGATTTATTATTTACATTTACAAACTGGAATCTATCAGATAAATATGATTTAAACCATTTTAGAGCTGTTTCTGTAGTTCCAACCTCGTATTCAAGCCTCTATAGTAAAATATTCAACTGTATTAAATGCAGCACTGAGGTCTAACAGGACCAGTATAGACACAAGTCCATTGTCTGAGGCCATGAAAATATCATTAGTGACTTTTACTGATGCTGTTTCTGTGCTATGATGAGCTCTAAACCCTGACTGAAATTCTTGAGATTGTAGATGTTCACGCATCTGACCTGCAACTATTTTCTCTAGAATTTTTGAAATAATATTAATTTTTTGAGGTTAGATATAGGTCAATAGTTGGCCAGAATTTCTGAATCAAGGTCAGACTTCTTAAGTAAAGGTTTAATTACAGCAACCTTAAAGCGCTGTGGTACATAACCATCCATTAAAGACAAATTAAGTAGATCCAAAATGTGGACATTAATTAGGGGAAATACCTCTTTAAACAGTATGGTTAGGATGGGATCTAGCAGACATGTGGATGGTTTGGATGACATATCAGAGAGATCAACAGGACAAAAACTGTCCAAACACAAATCAGGCTCTAGTGAAATTTTTCAAGTTTTTATTTATTTTTTTTACCCTTTATTTATCCAGGTAACCTCATTGAGCCACGAGAACTCATTTTCAAGAGAGAGCTGTTTAGGGAGCAGATGGTGGGGGTTAATGGCCTTGCTCAGGGGCCCAGAGTGGGGCGAATGAGGGTGGAGGCAGGTGTGGGTGGTTCACCTTTTCCTCCCACATTTTGATGTTGACGGTACCGGGAGTTGAACCTGCGACTTTCTGATCAAAAGCCCATCTTGTAACCTCTGCGCCACCACTCCCCAAAGTTGTCTCATTTGACAGGGGACTAGAGATAGTAGAAGGAAGGATGGTTTGAATTTTCTCTCTAATTGAAATAATTTTATTTATAAAGAATCTCATGAAGTCATCACTACTTATAGTTGTAGGGTTACAAGGTTCAACAGAAATGGGACTTTTAATTAGTCTAGCAATAGTACTAAACAGAAACCTATGGGTTTATGAGTTATGGGTATACTGAACATTGATATCGCATACTGCATAAACTAAATTGTTACAGTCAAAGGGAAAGAATAATCTACAAAGCAGTTAATAATTTATTTCAAGTGCTGCTGCTTCGACGAGACCCAGAGCAGTCATGTGTTTGGCTAACTGGTTCTACAAACTACACAGCGAGAAGAGGCAACGTGGAGACACGCTGTCCTTTGCATGTGGTCAGCTGAGTTTTTTTTTTTGTTTTTTTTTATGTTTTAGACTTCACTTTGTCATTTCTGTTCCAGTCATGATGAGGCAGAATGGGTAATGGAGCTGTTCTAATAGTACAGATAGTGCACTAACTCTGTGTTCCCTGGATACCAATTAGCAATGAACAACCAAGCATCAAGGGTCAAACAACTGATGGGTGAACACTTTGAGTGAGCAGATGAGAGAATGAAACCTGGGACAGTGTGTGATCATATAACAGACTACTTTAAATGGTGTGTGTGTGTGTATGGGATGGTGTGTGTGTTACACTAACAGAACAGAACCCTTATGCCTCAATGTAAGCTGGCATCATGCTGTGATTACAAACTTCAGTGTGATTTGGTCTTATTAAAAGCAATAGAAACACTGCAATAAATAAATCTTTCTTCCTCTGCAAAAATGTTGTTTGTTTGATAACTCTGAACACAACATGATCTTAAATTTCTGACATACTTTTGTTTTTACAAACAAAAAAAATACTTGTGTGTCTCATATGTTTATTAGAAATATTTTTTATCAACAGAGATGCACTCGCCTGGTGACATGAATCAACCAAGAAAACTAGAACTGGTGCATCGCTGCTAATCATTATCTCTGGTGAACAGATAACTAAAATTCACATGATTGTGACTTAAAGATCATTTACCCCAAGTCTTCAGAAGCAACAAACACAAAGCATCAACAAATAAATACACTTATTTATAGGGGCCGAGATGGGGTAGAGGCAGGGCAGCCGACCTGGGACCAGAAAGCCGCAGCTCAAGTCCCAGCCATTCCAACATGCCATGGTGCCCATGAGCAAGACACACAATCTCTACTTTGCTCCCTGGGTGCCTTAATGACCCCCCCCCCAACACACACACACACACACACACACACACACCACCCCCTCCCAACACACACACACACACACATCGTCTGTGTTGTAAGAGATGAACCGTTATCACAAGACACGTTTTTGGTTCATACACAACTAAAGTTGCCAACATTCAGATTTTTGTTGTTCTTAATGTACTTTGCAGTACGACCTTTCTATATTGTCATCAAGAAAAATACAAGTTCAAGCCTGTCAAAAATACTATATATAATAAGTAAAACTAGACTTCCATCCAGGAATTCTACACAAGCATCCAGATAATAAAACTGTGTGAAACTGGGTAAATTATCACTAAACAAAGTATCTATCTATCTATCTATCTATCTATCTATCTATCTATCTATCTAT